TATTTCCAGTTTGTTTGCAACGTCTCTCAAACTCAGAGCAGCAACACTGCTGGATGAGCCTGTACTCAATTCTCTGATAAAGAAGGGAAGTGAGCTCATTGCGCAGATAAATGTTTTAATCTTTCAGTCAGTAATACCTAGAGTTAGCAACAGTATCATGTGTTTTAGCAAATCTACATTCAAACTGTCATCTGCAAGGGAAGTAAAGCTGATCTACAGCCTATCGCCGTAGCTTTGATACTGATCTTTACTGCCATGCTTTCAGTAAGCCTAGAGAGAACCTATGCACTGTAAACTGCTTAAACAAAACCGTTTGAATTCACAGAGACTTCTGTTAGTAAAAAGCCTATCCATCCACTGACTAAGAAGGTTTATATTTTCAGCAGGTTTGAGATATATTTGCAGACTATTCTAACATGTTGAGTCAACGGTAATGAAAAGCGCCCTCAGTTTTACTCAGATGTCCGCAAATTAAAAATGGTTTTCCATTTCAAGCATATAGCATCAGGCCCTGCAGCCCACACCCTCACTTTCACATGCCTTTTCAGGGCACAGTCCAATAGACAGAAGGACAAAGCGCAGCCTAAAACTGGGGTGTGTATTGGGCTGTTTGGCTGTATTGGGTGTTTAAGCTGACTCTGAGTAGGCGGTCAGCACGCGGCTATGAATGAGCCCATTCGCACGGGGCTCGACTTGTCTGCAAGGTGCACCGGAGCATGGGGACAGAGGCTGGAGTCCAAGAAAGCCTTACAGCCTGCCCGGCCCGGGGTGCTGCAGGAAACCGACTGCTGCTAGGGAGACACTTCCCTCAAATTCTCTACGTTAGAAGCAAAAATCTCCAGGAACAGCTGCCAAGGGGTCTGGTTCTATTTTCAAACTGAACAGTTGAGCAACATTATTGAAGTTCTTCAGTGCATAGCACATCTGAGGGCATCAGGACAGTGCAAGAGCATAAACCGCCTCTCACCACTGAGTCAGCACACATTTTTGTCCCTGGTCCGTACCAACAAGCAGCACTGCCATGCATTACAGTTGGAACTGAGAAGTCTGGATAAGAACCACCTCGCACAGCATGCGAGGTGCCATATGAGCTGCCAGGGGCTGCAACGCCCCTGGGGAGAATATTCTGGCAATGGTAAATTATTTGCTTCAGGACCAGCTTCAAACTGCTGGCTGCCAGTTTACTGTGGGTAGTTGTTTTATCGCTGCTGGCAGGAATATCTTCAGGAATCTCAGGCCCCTGAGACCAGTGGAAAAGTCTGGAGCAATGAAGACTTACCCTCAGTAGAGGAGGATCAAGTTAGGGACTATTTAAACAAACTGGATATACACAAGTCCATGGGCCCTGAAGGGATGCACCCTGGAACAGGTTGCCCAGAGAGGTTATGGAGTCTTTACCCTTGGAGATATTCAAAATCTGACTGGACACAGTCCTGGGCAACTTGCTCTTGCTGACCCCACTTTGAGTAGGGGGGCTGGACCTGACCATCTCTGAAGGTCCCTTCCAACCTCAACCATTCTGTGATTCTGCCAGCTTCATGATGGTGAAAGCCACTTTCCTCACAGTACACTCCAGGCTAGTCCCTCAGCTGCAGAAGTAGACTACTGACACTATTGACATAGGAGTCCTCTTACTAAGAGGAAGCAGGTAGAAAGAAAAACTTAAAAATGAGCAACTGAACCATGGCAGGCCAATTTGACACGTGCAAAACTATAGCTCATGCTATGTCCTAGCATATGTTGTTATTAAGAAGGTACTCAGCTAGCACCTCCTCCTGCTTGCAGACCCCAGGAAACTAGTCAGGTTTTTTTTTTTCCATCGTATAACACCAGCCAAACTATCAAAGATCAAATCAAAGGTCTGCCTACTCTTGCCTATCCTGCACCTGACAGCATCCAACAGCAGATGTTGAGGGAAAGATCTCAAGAAATAGCATGATTCTACAGTGCGACTTCCCCTGGCACAACCTCCAGTTCCTAGCAACCTGCAATTCAGGAACTCCTGCAAGAAGTTTTAGCCACATCAGTTTTCAGTAGTTCTTGGTGAACTATTCTTTTGTGATTTTTTGACGCTTTTTTGTTTATCGCGTTCTGTGGCAATGACTTATACAGCTTAATTATGTACTATATGAGAAGAGTATTCTTATTTTAAACTTGTCTGATAATTTCACTAGACATACTGTACGTCTTGTAACGTGAGAAACAGTGAGCAAATATGCTCTCTTCACCTTCCTCGTATCACTCGTGGTTTTATCTCCTCTGTGATTCCTTTTCCAGATTGGGAAGTCTACAGTAATCCTCCCACAGGCAGTTTCCTTTAATTAGTCAAAACTGATCAAGACTGTGACTTGCCAGGGCTATTCCAAGGACGATTCTGTCAATATAGCAACACTTTGTGTATACAGAAGCCAATTGCACACACTGGGCAGAGAAATACAAGCATGGAAGGCTTAAGTCTCAGGGATTACTTCTGTTATACTTCCAGGCATCTTGAATGATCACAGGAGAATCACTTGCATCAAAGCAGGATGGTCCAGGAGGATTTACAGTGCAAGAATTTGCTCAACCTCTGTGCTGATTTTCATATAGCAAAAGTGGGTACTACTAGCACAAGGAGCACAAAGACAAATATTTACCACTCTCCTTTGCTGAGACCAACTTACCCACTGCTGCTGTGTCTCATTAACCTGTAGACATGCTACCTCAGTTCCCAACAGATGCCTTTCAACTCCTGGCTGAGCAATTAGAAAATAACATTAGAATGCACATCTAGGCTCCCGAAAGCAAGAGTTCTCAGCGTGCGGGAAACTGTACCTGCATAAAAAACCCTCTCTCACTTTGAGATTGCACGCACCAGGGGGCAAGGGCTTAGTAAAATATGTATGGCAGAATCAGAGAGCCAAGAGCAGCTTTTAAGCATTATCCAAAGGGCCTGTATTTCAGCTTTTGAACAAACGAATAAACATGTCTGATGAGCCTACCCAAAATTCTTCTCCTCCCATCACTGCTGTTGGAAAGCAGCCCCTCCCTCCCACTTTCCCTCTTCCTTATTTTGATTACTTTCTGAAAGCGTCAAATGAAGTCAAGCATGTTAAACATTGAGAATTTTATCATGCCAAACACAAAGCTCTACAAAAACTTCAGATTAGGGGAATGTAATTAGGATAATTAAAATTGGAAAAAGGATCTGAAGCGCTAAGGAAAAAAAGGTATTAAAATGGATAGTTTGGCAGAAGGGAGATAGTTTATCATTACTGGCAATAAAGAAAGTACTAGACAATTTGAGAAACTCTTAATCTTTCAAAGCAAATACTGCGTAAGGCTGCAGACAGGTATGCCTGAGGTGACAGCACGGCCAAGGTTATAAGTGCAGGACTACCAAGCAGTAGGGCAACACATAGGTTAAGAGAAAGCTGCTCGTCTACAGAAACTGAATTCAGGGCAGTACTAGTCACTGATTTGGTTTCCAAGAATTAAATGTTTTTCAGAGGCTGCAGCACTCTAGGCACACAGGACTGGGAAGGGAGGGAGGACTGACTATTATGCACAAGAGCAAGTCCCTGACTCCACCTCAGCACAGGGTATTACCACGCCTGGAAGATCACTGCCATCTTCATCAGGATAGACAGGGAGAAGAGGCTCTTGCCCTCCAGCAGCCTGTCTGTCCTGACAGAGACACAGAACTTTTGCAGCCTGACTTGGAAAGTTGCAGGAGCCTGTCAGCACCAGCTGGTGCGCTTGCTTGCCTTTGTCCTTGTCTTGGGTCCTGCCAGTCTGTCCATCTTGCTGATAGCTGCAGACAGCCATCTGCTGGGCAGCTGCATCGAAAAACCAATCCAGAAGAGATCCTGGTGTACAACTAGGATCATTATGCTTTAGTTTTTCCTAGTTTCCTATGAGAATAGGAGCTCCACATGACGCATTAATTGACAGGACAACTGGAACAGGCAGTGTTGAGCATCAATATCTGGAATTTTAAGAGAAGAGATGCACAGTGTGTGCATGCCTGTCTCTTCCAAGAATTGCATTATTTTTGGAACATGCCAGTAAAAAGGAAAAAAGACAATCCAGCTTTATGATACATTTTAAAGCTGTGAAGAGTCACTTCTAGACATCACGACCCTAGCACAAAAGTCACAAAAGTGACCAGAGTAACTAGGCAACCAAATCGGTATAGGGTACCATTTGGTAGCTAGGAAGCACAGTCATAAAAGCTGACTTGGTCCTCCTTGTTTGGATTTAGCCTCAGTAAACCTAGAGTTGTGGTTAAAACTATTTGAGAGGTTAGTGTCCTGTGATCACCACTTCTCTGAACCAGTGATAAAGCATACTTAAAGCAGGAACACTGAGTTAAGTATGTCATTCACCCACAGCTGCAATGACTTTGAGAAGCGTGGAGTGGAGAGGCTCTGTGGTAGGTAAGAAGTGTGAACAACACAGAGGCAGCCCTAAGCAACTGGGCTTTTTGCATGCTGGGGGCTACTTCATTGATCCCCTATCCTTTAAAACACAAAGATGGACTCTGGGGAAGGCAGGTTCACTTCTGGTCCTTCTAAAGAATTGGGAAGGAGAATGGGATCCAAGGCTCCTGCAATAGTATATATTTAGGAATGACCCAACGGAGAGCCAAGGTGAAGACTACTTTATGGTATGGACCAGCAGGCCACGCCAAGCTGAAAACAACCTCTCGGCTTCCTTTATTGTGGGGCATCAGGACAGATCCTTTCCCTAAGCTTGCCCACACCTGTGTCCAGGCCTCTCCTTGGAAGACATAAAATACTAGCTTTCCACAGACCTGATGTGTTCTTTAGTGTGAAACATTAATTTCCATGGCTTGTGTCAGACAGCAGAAGATCTGAAAGCTAAAAGGCAAGGGATTAACAACTAAAGGCAGCATGACATAGCTTATTTCTCATTCACATCTCAGAATTAAGAATTGAAAACTCTTGCAGAACCAACCATGCATGACCATGCAAAAAGTAAATGAACTAAAGCACACATTCTAGCCAAGCAGCAGCTAGCTTTATTGAGTTCTGATAACACTGCATCATAACCAGAACAAATTAAAGTTGCTTTTTGCTCCTTAGCATTAGTCATTTCTCAGATGAAAATGGATTATGTTTAATGATAAAGAGAAAAACAAGAAACAGGAGTAAGAATAAAGTTAAACAGGACTTTAGAGCTACTGTCCCCTTTATGTATGCCCCTCATGTATTACAGAAACTGAGTTCTTAGAAGTCCTCTTAAAATTTCTTAGGTCTGGTACTGAATCCCAGGACAAATCGTTTGATGAATCAAATATATAATGGATTGCTATGGATCACACTATATCTGTTAAATTGCATTTGAGATATTTATCCCATTCACTGGAACAGAAAGTAACAAAGGGATTTCAGAGAAAAGATGGTATCAGGTGAGTTAAACACATTTCTCCCCTGGCTGCCTTAGTAAAGTCAGTAAACACATTTGAGCATAATTCATTTTTCCTCTTAGTTCCCCAGAAAAGATCAATGTGCAAGATCCTTTGTGGCATTTGTAATACCTCTCAATGCACTGAAACATAATTCTGGCCTCACCTGCTTACTTCCATATTTGTTGCCTTTACACCTGCTTACCTCCATATTTGTTGCCTTTACACATAAGATTAAGACCACCGTCCACATGCTAACAGCCACAACTAAACAGCTACAAGAGATGAGATGCTATTTGAAATTGCTTGTAGATATGTGCAACTGTTAGCTTATGCCCTGAGAGTTAAGCACACACTGCCTAACAATTATTTTATGGAGGTTTCTCAGCATTAATAGCTATATGATTCTTCAGTAAATAAAGAATTAAAAACGTAAGAAATCTCCCCTTCTTCCATGAGGAAGTACTTAAGGAAGCATATGTAATAGTGAGAGCTGTTTATTAGCAGCGTTACTGCTGTGGTACATTGGCTCAGAAATCAGGTGTATCACCTCTAGCTCCTGATCAGCTCTGTTTCAGAATTATGGCTTATACTTCTGAATGGCACATAGCACCACCTAAAGAATGTGAAGAAGGCAAAAAGGTATTAGATAAGTAATCATTCCTGGAACTTCAAGTGATCATTCTTTTATTCCTTTGAGGCACATTTGCACTCTCTTCCCTCTCATCTCTAATTTCCAAAGACTTCCTAGTCTTCATAGACCTGGTACAATCCAATTAAGAAACTTCATAGCAACTTCAAAACCAAGGAAACAAGCCTGGAAAAGAGAGAACACACAGAACAAACATGGACTGTAAAGACTTATTCCAAACAAGGCTTTTGAAATGCAGCAGCACAATAAACACCTGATATGGTTGATGTGGAAGGAGGAAGTGAGTTAAAGAAAAAAGTATTGGACCAGAGTTAAGAGTACTACCATATCCCTCCATACAAAGGCAGAACTTCTAATCTCTTAGGTTCATTATTTACTGAATGGGAAGCTAATCCAAACGTCCACACGCTTCTGTCTTCTACTGCTGGATGTGTAATCAGACATGAAATAGTATCAGAATAAGTCAACAGCCATTTCCATGTGAAGCCAGACTTCCATGTGAAGCTGAGAATAAAGGTTTAATTGGTGTTGTGCCTCAATTAGGATACATTTTAGAACTTGGACACCAACAACCAAAAAGCATCTGCAGTACAGAGAATCTCACTGAAACGGTACATGAGCAAGCAACAAGTCATCTCCTCTGTAGTCTCTGTAGCAAATATTCACCATAAGTGGCCAGGTCCTTGAAACCCCTCTGAAATCCTAATTTACTTACTGCATTAGCAGGAAATGCCCTGATCATTACAGCTGTGAAGCCCTTATACAGAGATGCAACTCCTTCTTCTCTGATAAGTTCTCTCAGCACATCTCTAAAGCCATTTGGATATTTTCCGGGAGGAGCTGTGAGGGATCAAAACACATTAGATAAGATGTGTGACAGTCACAAATGCTGACGGATGGGGCATGCGTAACAGTCCAAGGTTTTCAGCGTGTTCATACTGCCACACCAGAATCCAAGCATTGCTGAAGCTATACTGTGAAAGCATCTACTTGGGAAAATTATCTATTTCAGTCAAAAACAAACAAACAAGCCAGCTTACTAAAGATCTAATAAAGAAAAGCTAAGTGCTCACTGTCACCACAAAGAATTTACATAACTAAGTCATCTTTTTGGGAGGAAAGGAGAAAGAAGAACTTTTGCCAGGGTTGGATATCTGAGCTGTTACTTTCATGGCTGATCATAGCTCTCCCAAGAGCTACCATTAGGGGACAGGAAGGTCAGGTGTAATAATTGATAAAGCTGGTTTATAAAAAGCAGAAAATGATCCTATCACCTGCCCCAGCCAAGAACAGCAATAAACTTCAAGTGAAAAGCACAGGCTGACGTTACACCGATTTGCTGACGTGTTTTTAAAACGTTATCCTATTTGATGAACAAATTTGTCCACCTCCAGACCTCTGGAAAGTACTGCCTCTGCCAGCCTTCTGAACTGAAGAAGTACTCCACAAATTAATCCAGTTAAACAGAACTGCCATTAAACCACATCGTCTATAAAGCACCATTGTAGATTGGCTCAGTGGAACAAGGACGCAAGACTAACGTATTTCACACTCAACCCTAGCTATGACATCAAACAGCCAGAGCAGCCATTATTCAGAAAAAAAAAGGAAAATTATCCTGCACTAGATAGTTATGATTCATAATACACAGACATACACACACACACACACACATATATGAAACCACACACAGAGACATACAAACAAACAAAAAGCATACTGTCCAGTGGAGATCTGAGTCCACAGACAAGAACCACTGGGGAGCCTTAACAAAAGTATTCATTGAGTAAG